CTTGAATGCTAGATGACATTAAATGACTGCCTTTAGTTATGGACTACAGGTTGCCTCGCCATATTTCCCTCTGCCTCGTTTAAATCCTCAGGATTTAGCCAAGGCAAAGCTAGTCCATAACTAAAGGCGGTCATTTAATGTCATCTAGCATTCAAGGATGGTCCTTGCGGAGACACCATAGAAGGACATTGTCGCACCCGCCGAAACATTGGAAATATATCATCATCCTGCACCAGGCCATCATACAAAGCAATCTTCTTGAATTGATCTTCGCTCAAACGATAACGTTTGTTTGCTCGGGCATCTTCATGCTTGAGTGATATGCTCAAAGGCATCTGAAATGAGAGTCAGCACATCAAAGCTCACATACGTAGTCTTCCACATGTCTTTGCTACAAGTTGCCTGGGGCCTGGCTCTTGTGGCACAGGTATGCCAAAAAACATTTGATTACATCATCAGAGTTCACATACATGTGCTTCTACATGCCTTTGCTACAAAGTTGCCTGGGGGGCACCCCATTCAAGGCCCGAAGTTCGGGGTCCGACTCTTGTTGCATAGGTATGCCAAAAAGCATTTGATTACATCATCAGAGTTCACATACATGTGCTTCTACATGCCTTTGCTACAAAGTTGCCTGGGGGCACTCTGTTCGGGGCCCAAAGTTCGGGGCCCGAAGTTCGGGGCCCGAAGTTCGGGGCCCGAAGTTCGGGGCCCGACTCTTGTGGCACAGGTATGCCAAAAAACATTTGATTACATCATCAGAGTTCACATACATGTGCTTCTACATGCCTTTGCTACAAAGTTGCCTGGGGGCACTCTGTTCGGGGCCCAAAGTTCGGGGCCCGACTCTTGTGGCACAGGTATGCCAAAAAGCATTTGATTACATCATCAGAGTTCACATACATGTGCTTCTACATGCCTTTGCTACACAGTTGCCTGGGGGGCACCCCATTCGGGGCCCGAAGTTCGGTGCCCGACTCTTGTTGCATGGGTATGCCAAAAAGCATGAGATTGCACCGTCATCGTTCACATACATGTGCTTCTACATGCCTTTGCTACAAAGTTGCCTGGGGGCACGCTGTTCGGGGCCCGAAGTTCGGGGCCCGAAGTTCGGGGCCCGACTCTTGTGGCACAGGTATGCCAAAAAACATTTGATTACATCATCAGAATTCACATACATGTGCTTCTACGTACATGCCTTTGCTACAAAGTTACCTGGGGGCACCCCGTTCGGGACCTGAAGTTCGGGGCCCGACTCTTGTGGCATAGGTATGGAATAAGGACACGCTGGATTGAAACCCATGTTTGCTCCCTTTTGCTGCTCTGGGATGAAGCGCGAAACCCTATCATTTAACCATACTTAGCCCTACTTAGTAATTTTAATGTATTACCACCCCCCCGGCCCCCCCCTCTAAAAGTAGAGTTGTACATAGGGAATCATAGGGATCTGATTAGCCAATGTGTAATCTAGTTTGCTAGCTAGAACTCTTACTCTCAATTGGGCACGACAAAGCATAGCGCTCAACTTTGAATTTGTGCCTGTGTTTTTGTTTTGGACTTCACCCTACCAGGGCATAGCATGAGTACTGAGCGAAATTTATATACGCTGTCAAGGCTCACGAGGGAAATATATAGAGGTATGGCTTGTAGTCTAGGCGCTGCACTGACTGGCTATTGGCTGAGAGAGGAAAACTAATGCTTTCAGCCCGTGAAGACGCTCTAGCTGATCCTATCAGGACGCTATTGCCCCTCTTCAGCCCTCCCCCCAATCCCCCTTCCCGCCTTTTTTTTTGAATCCAAGCCTGCACATGTGTAAATACAGTTCTCTACATATGTATTTCGGTATAGTCCATTCAAGGGTTCCAATTCATATGCTGACATGCACACAACCTTGACCCCCCCCAACAGCCCCACACCACCCTACCCAATCCCCACACCTAAGGCCCCCCCACCGCACACCCCACCCAAACCTAAAAGCCTGAACTGCCTTATGTGGCATGAAACATGTAGTGAGGTATATACACCCTAAGTACCATATTCAACCTACAGCAGGACTTGGGAGTACAGGTATTGTCATTCTGCTTTGGGGGGGGGCCTGCGCCCTTGTTTTTGTTCTGGACTGAACCTTACCAGGTGATAGCATGAATACTGAGCACAGTTTAAATACGTTGCCAAGGCTCAAGAGAGATATAGAGGTATAGCTTGTAGACTCGGCTCTGCACTGACTGGCTAATTGGCCGATAGAGGCAAAACAGGGCTTGCAGCCTGGGAAGACGCTTTGCTGATCCTTTAGTTGAAGGACGCTACTGCCCCTCTTCAGCCCTCCCCCCATCCCTTCTTCCTGCATTTGTTATGCGCGCAAGATGCGTGCTGTGCATTTTTTACTTGTGCATTATTTGCACCCGGAGTACCATATTCAGCGACGAAGGGAACCTGCACAAGATCTCCTGCGGGACCTTCTACAGATACCCTTACGAACTGATCTTGCAAAGCAGCCTCTACAGAGATCCTGTCAAGGAGATCTTCTGCAGGATCTTTAGAGAGATCTTCGCAAAGTGAGCTCGCAAAATTTTCCCTGCCATCTCTTCGTTTTATGGGGCCTCTTGGGCCTCTTGCCGGGATATATATTGTTTTTGGTTGCAATAATAATTTCTTTTTCATGGCTTTGGATTTTTTTGGAGTATTGGAATAATATTTTTCTTTGATGCGCTTACCCAAGCCCGGCGAGAGAGAGAGGGAGAGAGAGAGAGAGAGAAAAGAAAAAAGGGAAAGAATAATGAAAGAATATGAACATCAAGAAAAGCAAACTATAAAGGTGAAGGCGCAAGAGAAAAAGTATTATCCGGGCAAGAGGCCCCAAACAGTGCGCAGTAGGGATTCTAAAGAAAAATGTGGAAAGCGTGACACATAAATGTCTCTTGGAGAAGATATCACAAGGCTTTTCCAAGATCTTTAAAGTGAACGCCATCGCAAAAACATAACTTTCAGACAGGCACCCGCTAGGGTTGATCATGCTATCCTTCTTTCTGCTGTGCTGCGGTGGCACGTTGCTTTGCCTGGCTTGCCTATGGCTCAACATCCTTGCTTCTGGCCTAATTATGTTCCTTGCTGTGTTTCTTGGTGCAGACACTGTGTTTTTCCCTGTTTCCCAAAAGCTGGCATCACTTGCCCGAGTTTTTCGTGCTGTTTCCTTTCCAACCAGGGGAGGGCACAAGACGGACGTTTTCCAATCATGAAGAATGGATTCTTCAATTTTTTTAAAAAAAAAGTGACCGCAGTTCTTATTCCCGGCTTGCACCTTCCTGCCACCAGGTTGCAGTTTGCAGGGGCGCGTAGAATTTCCCAGATGCAATCGATGTGACTTTGTTTAGTTTTCCCTGGCTTGATTTTCCATGCATTGCTCCCCGGCTTCCTTTTCAAGAGCATTGCATCCATTGCCTCTATACTCTATACTATTTTTCTTATCTTCGCCAGCCGCATCTTCCTCGTCCTCATCCTGCATCATCATCATCATCATCATCATCACCATCATCATCATCATCACCACCGACAACAACAGCAACAGACAAAAACACGACGACACCGCGACACGAAGACGCGACGGCGCGACGGCACAATGACACGAAGACACGACCATAACCACAACAACGACGACGACCGACGACCGACGACCAAAACAACAAGAACAAGAACAACAACAACACGACCACGACCACACGACCACGATGACGAAGAAGATGACGACGACAACGGTCAAGACGACGACAACAACAACAAAAACAAAAACAACAACAACAACAACAACAAAAACAACAACAACAACAACAACAACAAGAACAACAACAACAAAAACCACGACGACGACGACGACGACGCCGACGCGACGACGACGACGACCACAACCACAACAACAACAACAACAAAAACAAAAACAAAAACAGCAACAACATACATCGTATAACATACAGCTCACAACATACAACTCACAACATACAACAAAGTTCAAAATACAACCGCATGCAACAACATACGACAATATACAACAACATATAACGTACAACAACACACAGCACACAACAACATGCAGAATACAGCAATATACAACAACATACAGCAACAGACGGCAACATACAACAACGTACAGCAACCTACAACAACATACAGCAACATACAGCAACATACAGCAAAATACAACAACATACAGCAACCTACAGCAACATACACATACACGTACAAATGCCACAACGACAACAACAACAACAACAGCAATAACAGCAACAACAGCAACAGCAACCACAACAACAACAGCAACAACAGCAACAGCAACCACGGCAACCACGGCAACCACGGCAACCACAGCAACCAAAGCAACCACAGCAACCAGAGCCACCACCGCCACAACCACCACCACCACAACCACCACAACCACCAACAACAACGACGACGTCGACGTCGTCGATGACATCATCACCTTCAAAGTGAACATCATCTTCAGCGGCATCCTCATCATGTCAGCATCATGATCATCATGATGGTCATCAGCATCGTCATCTTGATCATCATCATCATCATCATCATCATCTCCGTCATCACCAACATCAAAATCACGAACATGATCGTGATCATGATCATCACCACTGTTAAGATTCACCCGCGCGTGCACATGACACACATGGGCACAGTTACCCTTCCCAAATGCGAAAAGGCCAGAAAACATGGTTGCCCCATGAGTTGCAGCGAAAAGTTGTCTCATGGCTAGAGCCGCTGACCTTTGCGGAACTCACAAATGATGAGGACATGGTAGCCCGAGGAAGGAGGATCAAGCTGACAAGTTCTAAAGGCCTTCCTGGCAGGTTGGCAGCAATCAATCCAGCTGACACCTGAAAACGAAATACCCCAACTAACTCCCACAAAGCTTTCGAATGTTTATGGCGCTTTTTGCATGTTTTTCATCTTTCGCATGTGGCCAGCGTTGGCCAGCATGTTGCGTGCGCCCGCAGGATATGCAAAGGACGCAGGGAACCTTCGACGGCTGCAAACAGTGTCAAACAGCGATGTCCTCTGTGATGCAAGCCAACCTTTTGCTCACCAAAACAGTCATTGCAGGAGACAGTTGGGGAGAGATAGCCGTTCCAGTGATTCAAGAACATCCAGCAACTGCAATTATTTTCATCGGGAGTTTATTAACTCTTGTTTTTGGTGTCCTCAACATCATTGTTGCTGTAGCTCCTCGGCGGAAGTGGAAGCTGACAGGCCGCAAAAAGACAGAGAGAGAGAGAGAGAGAGTGAGACTGAGAGAGAGAGAGAGAGAGACACTGAGAGAGAGAGAGAGAGACTGAGAGAGAGAGAGAGAGAGACACTGAGAGAGAGAGAGGGAGAGGGAGAGAGAGAGAGAGAGACTGAGAGAGACTGAGAGAGACTGAGAGAGACTGAGAGAGACTGAGAGAGACTGAGAGAGAGACTGAGAGAGAGACTGAGAGAGAGACTGAGAGAGAGAGACTGGGAGAGAGACTGAGAGAGAGACTGGGAGAGAGACACTGAGAGAGAGACACTGAGAGAGAGACGCTGAGAGAGAGACACTGAGAGAGAGACGCTGAGAGAGAGACGCTGAGAGAGAGACGCTGAGAGAGAGACGCTGAGAGAGAGACCCTGAGAGAGAGACGCTGAGAGAGAGACACTGAGAGAGAGACACTGAGAGAGAGACCCTGAGAGAGAGACACTGAGAGAGAGACTGAGAGAGAGAGACACTGAGAGAGAGACGCTGAGAGAGAGACGCTGAGAGAGAGACGCTGAGAGAGAGACGCTGAGAGAGAGACGCTGAGAGAGAGACGCTGAGAGAGAGACGCTGAGAGAGAGACACTGAGAGAGAGACCCTGAGAGAGAGACACTGAGAGAGAGACACTGAGAGAGAGACACTGAGAGAGAGACACTGAGAGAGAGACACTGAGAGAGAGACACTGAGAGAGAGACACTGAGAGAGAGAGAGAGACACTGAGAGAGAGACACTGAGAGAGAGAGAGACGCTGAGAGAGAGACGCTGAGAGAGAGACGCTGAGAGAGAGACGCGCTGAGAGAGAGACGCTGAGAGAGAGACGCGCTGGGAGAGAGACGCTGAGAGAGAGACACTGAGAGAGAGACACTGAGAGAGAGACACTGAGAGAGAGACACTGAGAGAGAGGCACTGAGAGAGAGACACTGAGAGAGAGACGCTGAGAGAGAGACGCTGAGAGAGAGACGCTGAGAGAGAGACGCTGAGAGAGAGACACTGAGAGAGAGACCCTGAGAGAGAGACCCTGAGAGAGAGACCCTGAGAGAGAGACCCTCAGAGAGAGACGCTGAGAGAGAGACCCTGAGAGAGAGACACTGAGAGAGAGACACTGAGAGAGAGACACTGAGAGAGAGACACTGAGAGAGAGACACTGAGAGAGAGAGAGAGAGACTGAGAGAGACACTGAGAAAGAGACTGAGAGAGAGACTGAGAGAGACTGAGAGAAACTGAGAGAAACTGAGAGAGATTGAGTGAGACTGAGTGAGACTGAGTGAGACTGAGTGAGACTGAGTGAGACTGAGTGAGACTGAGTGAGACTGAGTGAGAGTGAGTGAGCGAGCGAGCGAGATAGATAGATAGAGCGATCCATAGAGAGATAGATGGATAGACAGACAGACAGATAGATAGACAGACAGATAGATAGATAGGTAGAGAGTGTGAGAGAGAGAGAGAGATATGCCAAGCAGGCTCGACATGGAGACGAGCCTAGACACGCAGCCAAAAGCGTGACATGCGACATGCGATGGAAATGTATGCTTCTTTAGGATTTTACCATGTAGTAACCAGGTAAGAGCTGCATGTAATCTGGAGGCCGCGGTTTCATTGGAATCGCTCGAGGGAAAGGCTTCAAGCGGGAAAGGTATCAAAACCACGCATCTATTTTTCTCGTGCTGCTGCGCAGGTCAGACTTCAAGCTGTGATTGAAAAGCAGAGCCGTGATGCTCTCTCCAAGTGGAATGCCAGGGTGCACACGCTCCCCGGGGCGTGCCAATGGCTGCGGCAAGACATTGCCATTCCGTTTGTTGTCCAAAATGAGTCAGGCGATCTTTTGACCATTCGGAATCGAGCTGTGGAATCCCTGAGAGATTTCTGGACCCAGGTGTTTGGCATTCAGGAACATCAGTGTAGCATTCTAGACTACTGTCAATTTTTCTCCGCGGATTTTCCGCCGGCCATGGGGTTCGAGCCCTTACCTGACATCACCATCCAGGACATCCGTCAGGCCCTCAGGCGAATGAAAGGAAAAGCGTCCGGCCCGGATGGTTGGTCCTCAGACATGATTTCTCAGCTCCCAGACATCTTTTTGAATCGCCTGTGTCAATTTTTACTGGAGTGTGAGGTTCAGGGCGTTTGGCCCCCCAACTGCACCCATTGGGTTGTCAAGTTTCTCCCCAAAAACAAAAAGGGTTCTATTCCTGGGTTGGGAGATCTTCGTCCGATTTCCATAGGTCCCATAATATATCGGGTCTGGTCTTCGGTTCGGCTTCGTCATCTTTCGGTCGGTCTGCAGCGGTTATTCGATCGACATCAAGTCTTGGATGTGTATGAGTGTCTCATTTCATTACATCAGGAGTATTCGGAACATGATTATCCGTACGGTGTGTGCCTGGATTTCACTAAATGCTTCGACTCATGTGACGCTGATCTTTGTGTGCATATCTTTCGGCAGTTAGGTGTCCCGTCATCCGTCTGCACGTTGCTTGGTGCCCAGTGGAGTGCGCATACGCGATGGGTTTGTTTCGGGGACGCTGTCTCTCCTCGTCCGATCGTTCGCCCCCTGGGCCTCCCCCAAGGTGACCCCTGGTCCCCCTGCGCGCTTATGCTGTGCTTGCTTTTGCCTCTGCGGCGCCAACTCCGCGTTGTGCCCGACTCTCGTGCCTTTCTCTTCCTGGATGACCGCACCCTCGTTGCGTCGTCTCTGTCGTCTTTGCAACAGGCGCTGGGAGTTTGGGAGGATTTTTGTCGGCTCACGCGTAACCGTAATAATAATGCTAAAACGCAAGTTTGGGCTCGAACGGTGCCTGCTTTCGTGGAGTTCGAAAACGCTGGGTGGGAACCGTCGTTCTTGGTCAACATCCTGGGCGTGTCTGTCGGAGGTTGCGGGCGGGCTGCTTCTGATGATGAGGGAAAGCGCTTACGCAAGTGTCAGCTCCTTGCGCGTCGTCTTGCTGCTTTGCGCTGCTCCCACTCTTTCAAAGCGTCGGTCGCGTCCTTGGTCCTCTCCCCGGTCGTGTCTTGGGGTGCGCTTTTGGGCGGTCACGTGCCTACCAAAGATTATGTGTCTTGCCTGCTCAGGTCGGTCCGGCAAGCGGTCAAGGGTTCCACTGGTGGCCACGAAAGTGTCGATCTCCAACAAGTCTTCCTTTTGGGTCATTCCTCGGATCTCTTGTATGTTTCTGTTCAGCGGGCCCTTAAGGCCCTTCATAAGTGGCGCAGCACGCGTGCTCCTCAAGGTCTCAGGCCTTCGTCTTTTCTCACCTGTCTCTCCCGTGCCGTGGCGCGTCTTGGGGGCTCGGTTCCGGAACTGGGACAGGTTCGTTTTGGGGACACTACGTGGGATACCTCCAGTCCCTTGGGTTTTGCCCCTGCTTTTGCTCACAACTTTCGCGAGGTTTGGCGCGTGCGTCTGTTTGGTCGGTGGCTGACGTCCACTCGTCGGGATGCTGGCGTCGCTCGCGAGTCGGGGGTGGCTGCGTCTGCTGATCTCATCAGTCGTTTGCGCGCCTTCTCTGCTCAGGCCACTGGTCATGAGCGTCAAGTCCTTTGCGGGGGAGTCTCTGTCGAGGCCCATCGCCGCCCTCTGCCTACGCGTTGTAGTCTGTGCCTGTCCGATTGTGTCCCGTCCACGGAGCACGTCCTTTGGTCATGTTCTTGTTTCCAGAGTCTTCGCGCTCTCCCCCAACCCCGCGATCCTTGCCTTGCCCGTCTTGGTTGGTCGGTTCGCGGTCCGTATCCCAAGCTGATTTCTCAACTTGCGTTGATCCGTGAAGAAAGTTCGAAGTTGTACTTGAACCTCAAAATTTGGAGTAAACCACAACCCCCGCCCGCCCCTGGGGAGGGGGGGGGCGGGGGGGGCGTGTGCCCAGGACCTAAGCCGATGCCCTCCGGGGCTGCTGCTGGCAGTTGGCGCTGCGCTACGCCGCTGCTGCGATTTCACACTGAGGTTGTGGATACCTTTGCAGATGCCCGCCAAAATGATCTTCAAAATTTGGCTGAAGAGATGGAGGACGAAATAGAGCATGACCGCAAAGCCTTGGCCAAGTTGTTCGCCAAAATTGACAAAGATAACAGTGGACAGCCGCCCGCCATATGTTGCAGCATTTTTTTCATGTTTGTACATCCTCGTGGAGCCAAGAAAAAACGGGAGAACATGGGAGAACCCAGATGAGTATGGTGAGATTTTTCGTTTCCCCATCGAGACGTCTCTAAGGCTAACGCTCCAGGAATTGATTGAAGGTGCTCGCCAGGACCCAGGCTTTCAGAGCCGGCTGCGCGTCATGGACATAGATGAGAATCTCGTCAGCATTATTATCAGCATGGGTGTTGAAGGCTTTGGGTGTTGAACGTGTTGTTCGGTTTATTTTCTGTTGTGCACTGCGCACGCCCCATAGCGTGATCGAGGAAGCATCCACCATTATTCACCCTGAAGTTCTGAAGCCACTGACCGTACGGCCTTTATTGACAGCAGAGAAGCCAACGGAACCTAACAAAATTCAACCAATGGAACAAGACATGATAGAATTTCATACAATTTCACAGGGGTGCCCGGGTGCCCCATAAAATTGTTTGCTGGAGGTTTTGGGGGGGTGTTGGACAGCCCTTCCGGCGTGCAGTTTGCATTCCAAAGTATTCGTAGCTCATTCGCGCCTTCAGCCGCACCCCCGCACGCACGAGCACGTATCCGGGACGTAAAGCATTATGAAGCCCAAGCCTTCATGCATTTTTTTAAAGCAGTGATAAAACATATAAAACAACACTAACACCACCAACACCACCACCATCACTACCACCGCCACCACCACCGCCACCACACATCAAAGAAGACATAGTGAGCCCCGCTCGAACTCGAACTCGAACCCCCCCCGGAGGGAGAAAAAAAAACCTTTCCGAGTATGCATTCACGGTCAAGCTCTGAAAGACTGCGAGCTGTCAGCCGGGAAGCCAGGTGCCAGGAATTAATTTTTTCCGTATCAGATTGAGGGGGGAGATATGGCATGTTACCAACGCAAGCATCCAGGAAATAATTTTCTTATACTTGGCTATCAGAGGGGTAAATTTATTGGATGTTGGACCTTGGGCACCAGGAAATTAGCAAAACAAATTCAAAACTCCCCCCCCCCCGCCCCTCCGGGGCCCTCGCACGATGCCAGTTCGAACCCTCGAACTCCAACTCGAACTTCCCCCCCCCATCCCCTCCAGGGCAGACGTACGATGCCAGTTCGAACCCTCGAACTCGAACTCGAACTCGACCTCCCCCCCCCCATCCCCTCGAACGATGACAATTCGAACACTCGAACTCGAACTCGAACTTCCCCCCCCCCATACCCCCCCCCACCGTCCCCTACCCCCGAAGAAGCAAGAAGCGTACGATGCCAGTTCAAACTGGTATCGAACAGTTCGAACCCCCCCGGGTTAACTCGAACCCTCGAACTCGAACTCGAACTCCTCCGCCCCTCCCCCCGCCAAGATCTCGGATCCCAACCTTGGAACCAAACTCGAACTCGCAGCCCCCTCCTCTCCTGCACGCCAAAAAAAGAACCTCTCACCCCCAATCCCCTCCGGGGCCCTCCCACGATGACAGTTCGAACCCTCGCAATCGAACTCGAACTCAAACTCGACCTCCGCGCCCCCCCCGCCAACAAAAAAAAAAACTCCCGACCTAGAACTCGAACTCGAACTCGAACTCCTCCCCCCCCTCCCCTCGAACGATGACAGTTCGAACCCTCGA